TCTGGCGACCTGGGAGTCTGGCGACCTGGGAGTCTGGCGACCTGGGATGCAGTAACAGTTCTGTATTTATGGGCTGGGTAACCCTGAGTCCGTCACCCCGTCTTTCTAAGCCTTAGGATTCTTATCTGTAAAGTGACAAAGTTGGCCTAGTTAACCCCTAATGTACCTTCAGTCTCTACCATGCTGTAATTCCATAATTCTCAATTGCAATGTCTAAACCAAAGGTTAGCATTGTGAGTACTACTAAGGATGCATTGCTTGTATTTATTTTGTCCATATTTGGATGGGGTCATTTGTCTTCTTCAAATCCAACATGAATTCTCTTTTCCATAAGGGCCCTTATGTCAGCCACACAAGGTTAGAAAGTGTTCAGATATAGCTCTGGAGGTCCTAGATAACTGGTTTATCCCCAACACAGGAAGAGAGGAATCCATATACCAAACTCCAGCCCTTCTCTCTTTGCTAGAGATGTCCTTCCTTTTCTCCTAGATTGCTACCAATATCTTCTCTTTTTAGTGATGTAGGTTTCTGTCCATGAAAGCCCACATTACTTCCTAGGATCAGTCAGAAATGAGGATGAGGTCTGTCAGGGGCAGGGGTGTTTTGAGGAGATTGGGAAAGGTCTTCTTCCATCCACCACAGGAATCCCTGAAAAGTATTACTTTGGTTTAAGCATTGCCCTCTCAAGCTCTTTTTTGATTTCTCTTTTATGGCTTAGTTGTACCAGATCTCAAACTATATTACAAAATTGTAATCATCAAAACAATCTGATACTGACTAAGAAATAGAGTAGTGGATCAGTGGAATAGATTAGGTGCACAATATATAGTCATTTACTAATGACCATAATAACCTATTGTTTGATAAACCCAAAGATTCAAGTTTTGGGACAAGGACTCACTATTTGACATAAATTCCTGGGAAAACTGGAAAACAATTTGGCAGGAACTAAGTATAGACCAATATCTTACACTGTATACCAAGATAAGGTCAAAATAGGTACATGATTTAGACATAAAGGGTGATACTATAAGCAAATTAAGAAAGCATAAAATAGTTTAGCTATCAGATCTAGGGATAACAGAAGAATTTATGACCAAATGAGAACGACAGCATTATGAGATGTAAAATGGATAATTTTGATTACATTAAATTAAAAAGGTTTTGCACAAACAAAACCAATGCAGCCAAGATTAGAAGGAAAGCAGAAAATGGGGCGGGGGGGGGGGGGGGGTGGGTGTAATTTACAATAAGTTTCTCTTGCTGTAAATATAAAGGCCTCATTTCTCAAATATATAGAGAACTGAGTCAAATTTCTAGGAATACAAGTCATTCCCCAATTGACAAATGGTTAAAGGATATGAATAGGCAGTTTTCAGATGAAATAATCAAAGCTATCTATAATCATATGAAAAGATGCTCTAAATCACTATTGCTTAGAGAAATGCAAATTAAAACAACTTTGAGGTACTACTCCATACCTATCAGATTGGCTAATAAGACAGAAAAGGAAAATGACAGATGTTGGAGGGGATGTGGGAACACTGAGAAATGAATGCATTATTGGTAGAATTGTAACTGATCCAGCCATTCTGGAGAACAATTTGGAACTATGCCCAAAGGGCAAGAAAAACATGCATACCCCTTGACCCAGCAACAGCACTGCTAGGTCTATATTACAAAGAGATTAAAAAAAAAGGAAAGGACCTATATGTACAAAAAATATTTAGAGCAGCTCTTTTTGTGGTGGTGAAGAATTGGATATTGAGGGAATGTCCATCAGCTGGGGAATGACTGAACAAGTTGTGGCATATGATTGTGATGGAAAACTATTGTGCTATAAGAAATGACCAGCAGGGTGCTTTTAGAAAAGCCTGGAAAGATTTACATGAACTGATGCTAAGTGAAGTGAAAACATTGTACACAGTAACAGCAATATCGTATGATGATCAACTGTGAATGACTTAACTATTCTGAACAGTATGATAATCTAAGACAATTCTGAAAGACTCATGACAAAAAATGCTATTTACCTCGAGAAAGAACTGATGGAGTCTGAATACAGATCAAAGCATACTTCTTTAAAAACTTTATTTTTCTTGTGGATTTTTTTGGTCTGTGTTTTCTTTCACAACATGACTAATATGGAAATATGTTTTGCATGACTGCATGTGTATAACTACATGAAATTGTTTGTCTTCTGAATTGGGGGAGGGGAGGGAGGATGGGAGAGAATTTAAAACTCAAAATTGTAAAAATAAAGGTTAAAAATGTGTTCATATGTAATTGGGAAAAAATAAAATATTTAAAAAGGAAAAAATAATTCCCTTTGAGGGAGAAACACATCTAGCTTCTAGAACTTTAGGGTGAATTAGTTAGTTTACCAGGTTTGTTCCTAACAGAGGCAATAAAGACAACTGAAAAGCAGACCCAATTCAGCCTAGTTCTCATTTTTTACTAAGGGCTCCATTCTGTGAAAAGGAGACATTCTATGGGCTGGTGGTACATCTAGAAGTCTATGTGGTAGTGGGTGATAGGCAAGAGAGGCAGAGTGGAACGCTCACAACCATCTCCTTAAAGAATTAAACTCTCATCATGAGGGTAGAGGAGGGGTCGAAGTACATAGTTATCTTCTTTCCCATTCAATATGTTTAACCTCTTCTGCTCATTACCTGGAATAGGCAAAGAGCTAACATAAGCATCAGAATCCATAAGTTAATTATCTTCTAAATGTATTGCAATCCAAGGGACAGCAACTGTCTCTCCTGCCAAGCTCTCTACATCTTCGCACCAGAAAGTAGAGTGTGCCTCTGCTCAGTTCTCAGCTACCCCTTCTTCAATCCACTTTAAATAAAGAGGGTTTCCTTGGTCGATGGGTAGGCTGAAGAGCTCAGGAATCTCAAAAGGATGAATTGATCTAAAGAAAGGAAAAAGAGCTGAGTAAGGATGGTTGGAGATATCTCTTGAGAAAGAAGCTTTGAGATCTTCATAGATAGGCGCACTTCATCTAATGTCCATTAGCCAACAGCTGTTCAGTAGATCATACTGGGTTGTGTTTTGTTTAACCTGTGGCCTCTGTCCTCGTCAAGGTTCCTGACCCACAGAGTGAAGGAGGCTTTTGCTCTCTAATATTTACAGGATCTGTGACTTCATCACTGGAGTATCAGAGCAGATCACAGCTCATCTTGGACCTAATAAATTAGTCTCAGAGAATGGCTGGGGCTCAGGGGAATGAGGTGACTCCCCTACAACTAGTTAGTATCATAGGAAGAGTCTGAAGCTGGGTCTTTCTGACTTCAAGTCCAGCATTCTATTCAATATACTATGTTGCTTCTCTTTGTGTCACACACACACACACACACACACACACACACACACACACACCCCACTAAGTGGAATGCTTGTTGCATGCACAGGCTCCATTAAGCATCCTGCCTTAGGTTATATTTGTGCCATTGATCAGATTCAGCTCCTTGACCAAACAGCTGAAGGAAAGGGATTAGAGATAAGCTGATGGAAAGAGAGAAGTCTCACCTGATGTAGTTAGAGAGTTCGTGTATTTTTGAAGTCTTCGTTTTCACTAACTGTTCAAGAGAAACATCAATCTTTCATAAATTCATTTCCAGATCATGTGATATCAGTTTCACTTCTGATGAGCTAGGGGGTGCAGCTTTTCTCCCTGACTATGAAATTATGGATTTCCTCTGAGGTCCTCAGGAATGACCCAAGCACTTGTACACAAAACTTGGCAGAGGTGGAAATATGCCCCTTCCTCATCTATAAAATAAAAGGGGTCACACTAAGTGATTTCTAAGGCCCTTTCCTGCTTGAATATTGCATGTTATTAGGTCCATTTCAGCACTGACATTCTATATTCTAAGGTTTCTTTCACTCTTAACATTTTATGACTTTATGAAACTTCTGCTTTAAAAATTGAAAATGATAAAGAAGGGGTGGGGTGTTTCTCTTCATTACTCACTGCACCTTGCCTCAGACCCCTTAGATCTAGACTGGTACTCACACTTACCAAAAGGATTTCAGTGGCTTCTTCAATCTCTCCCTTCCAAAAGTACCTAGAAGAGTTAACAAAATTATAGAAAAATATTATCCTGCTTTAAGGTTAGGCAGAGCTCTCCTGAAATGCCATTCCCCTAACCCTATACCATCAGCTCATTCCTTGCTAATGACTAAGATGGGGGAAGCTAGGTGGCTCAGTAGATAGAATATTAGCCCTGGAGTCAGGAGGACCTGGGTTTAAATCTGACCTCAGACATTTGACACTTACTAGCTGTGTGACTCTGCAAGTCACTTAACCTCAATTGCCTCACAAAACAGAAAGAAATAAAAGGGTAAGGAGATGGGGAGAGGATAAGGGAGGGATAGGGAATAGGATAAGGTGGGGCATAGAAGGGTGTGTAGATTAATGGGAATGGAATAAAGAGGGAACAACATATATATTTAGAAGGGTATAAAAATCTTCTAAATTCAGAAAGAAATAAGAGGCTAAGGGGATAGGGTGGAGGGAGAGGATAAGGAAGGGATTCTTGAAGGGTGAGCAGGTTAAGGAATAGGAGGGCAAGGTAGTGGGTAGAAGCAAAGTAGAGGAGTGAGGAGGAATAGGAATAGGGTGAGAAGGATAGTGAGAAAAATATGTGACAAGTAATTATAGTTTAGAAAGTGAATGGGATGAATTTACCCACAAAATGGAAACTGACAGCAGATTAAAAATTGGAACTTAACAATATGTTGCTTTCAAGAAATGCTATAAAAATTAGAGCTACACACAAACATAAAATAAATATCAGGACTAGAATTTATTATGTAAAAAAAACAGGGATAGTAATCATGATCTCAGACAAAGTTAAAGCTAAAATCAGATTTAATCAAAAGAGAAAAATAGAGAAACTATACCAAGTGTCAGCCATATTAATCAGTAATTTTAGACCATATAAAATAACTAGACAGTATTAAAAAAAAGGAGAGTAAACCTATCAAAACAGACCCAGGAACTATGCAAATATAAACACAAAACACCTTTCATACAAAGTTAGATCTAAATAATTGAAGTAATATTTATTGTGAATGGGTAGGTAAAGCTAATATAATAAAAATGACAATTTAACCTAACTAATCTATTTATGTAATGCCATCTCAACCAAATTACTAAGGAATTATCTTATTGGGTCAGAAAAATAATAACAAGTTTCATGTGGAAGAGCAGAGGGTCAGGAACTTAAAGGAAACCAGAGGAAAAAAAGATGTGAAGGAACTAGATTCAGTAGTATCAGACCTTAAACCATATTAGGAGGTGAGAGCAGTGTTGAAGTGTAAAATGGGTAATTTTGATTACTTTAAATAAAAATTTTCCTGTATAAATAAAACCTATATAGCCAAGAATAGAGAGAATGCAGAAAATTGGGGAGGAAATGCTCATAGACAATCTCTCAAATAGAATGTGATTGGGTCAGAATATTGGTGTGATGTAGGAAATGATGAGCTGGTGGATTTGGGCTTATGAAGAAAGATACTATCCACCTTCAGACAAACAGATGACAAGTGGAAATAAGCATAATACAGCTGTATGTATGTGCATTCAAGTATTTATGTGTATATATGTGTATGTTTATGGATATCTATGTATGTGTATGTATATATGTGTGTGTGTATACACTTAATTGTAGCCTTCTTGGTAGTGGGGAGGAAGGGGGGAAAGTAAAGTAAAAAGTACACCAGCAGAAGACAAATGAAAACATACTAGGAAGCAAAGAAAAGATGGACAGCTTTGAAAATTATGTGCAATATTAATTATAATGGTTTTCTTGAAATGGAAATTTATTGCTTTATATTGAATCCTCTTCTGTTCTGCTGTGTACATGACAATGTATTCTTTTCTTTTCGTATTTTGTATTTAAGTTTAAATTTTAAAACTTTTTAAAAAAATTACTAAGATGAGAAGGAAATTTTAAAACCTCCCTACCCCCTTTAATAAGGATTTCTAACCATAAAGAGATAGAATATAAAATCCTAGAATCTTGGGGCCAGAAGGGACCAGAAGAGACTGTACTTTTTTTCTTTATTTGGGAACTTCCTATATAGAATCAAGTTTGGATATTTCTGGTGACAGAGAACTCACTAATTCCTGTTATATTTTTGGACAACTCTGTTAGTAAGTTCTATCTTTAAAGGAACCCAAATCTGCTTTCTTGTGACTTCCTCCTATTGTCCCTAGTTCCATAGAGAATAAGGAAGCTTACTCCGTGCACTTTACATATTGGAAGACAAGTAATCCTATCCCTCCCTTTTTTCCTGCCTCCCCCTTCTTCAGGCTATTTATTCTAGTTTTCTATGTAGCTACTCATATGACATAGTTTCCTAGGTTCCTGGCCATACTACTGCTCACCCACCCTCCAGGTCACGGTATCCTTCTTAGAGGGTGTCACTAAGAAGTAGACAAAAAAGTACATGGTCAGAGCAGCAAATTAGGAAGATTAGTTCAGCATCAGTATCAAGGATAGATTGGATAGGAAATAGGGTAAAGGCAGATCACCACAAAAGGCCCTGTGGTAGCCTGGAAAGGGAAGAATTGGTTTTAGAATCAGCAAACTTGTGTTTAGATATTGGCTCAGCTACTTACCTATGTAACCTTAGGTAATTCAACTAACCCCTCTGGGTTTTAATTTCCTTATTTTAAAGAAAGGGAGGGGAGTGGACTAGGTGATCTCTAAAGTCACTTCTGGTACCAGATCATATGATAAGTAATGTCTCTTAAGGCATTCAGCACAATGGTAGTATAGGCGTACCCTTTGTTAAGGCCATTAATTGGTAGAGCAAGAAGTGAGTAAAGAGAAAATGATGTTATAAAGGGATGTGAGCCTCATAGGAAAGAGTGATGTTAGAAATCTAATAGCAAGATTTAGTTATAACCAAAGATGTGCTGGAGCCAGCTCAAACTGGCCTCACAAGAGCAGATTGTTAAATTTTCATTGGGAGTATTTATGCCTCAAAAATTGGCAAAAGCTAAAAATCAGGGCTTGGATTCTGTTGTTGTTATTGATTGTCTGGATTTAAGAACATGGCAGAGTAAATATTAATAATGCCGATTGAACTTAAATGTATCCTGCTGCCTTTTTTCCCTGTGGAGAGCTAGTTGTTAAACATTTACCAGTACACCTTTGGTTATAATATATTAACTACTTTCTAGTAAAATGATGTCAGTTGGGGCAATGATATACAGCAAGTGTCTGGTTATGATTAATGGTGAAATGTGTGATTCAGGCAGTAAAAGTGATGGGTTCTGAGGCAGAGGAAAACACTGAAAGCTGTAGAGGAAAGGGAAAGCTGTGTGAAAAAAAGGATCTGAGATGGACCTTACAGAATACAGAAGGAGTAAAGAGGGTATTACAGCATGCATTCCAGCATTAGCCATGTGATATGTGTGGGAAGACAATGAAGAGATACCAATTTAAATGGATCAGAGGCTTCACATAAGAGCATAGTAGGAAATACATTTGGCCAGGCTATAGAAGCCCTTAAATGCCAGGGGGAGGAAACAACCATTGTGTGAGGGACCCAATTTCCCAGTAGTGTGCAAGAATCCTGACATGTCATAATTCACAGATTATTAAAGCTGGAAGGGACTTTAGAAATCATCTAGTACAATACTCTCATATTTTTTAAAATGTTTATTGATATATTTCATTTTTACATTATTTTTTATTTCTAAACATATCCCTTCTTTCTCCACTCCCCAGGGAGCTCTCCTTTGACACAATTAAAAAAAAGGAAAAGAAATTTAGCAAAAATAACCAATATATCAACTGAGCCTGTATACCCAGTGCTCCAAATCCATAGGGCCTTACCTCTGGAAGGAAGATGAGGAGGAGGAGGAGAAGGAAGAGGAGAAAGAAGAGGAGGAAAAGAAAGAGGAGGAGGAAAAGAAGAAAGAGGAGAAGAGAAAGAGATGAAAAAAGAGGAGGAGGAAGAAGAAAAAAGCTGCATTTTTTCCTTTCTTCTTCTAGGACATTGTTGATTGTTAGAATTACACAGCATTCAGTTTCCTCCCCCCCCCCACCCAACCTATCTGGTTAGGGTGCAGTGTAAGGTACTGGACTTGGAGTCAGAGGATCTGGGTTTGAGTTCAGAATTCTCAGCTTACTGCCTGTGAGCTTTCAGGCTGGACTTCATCTATTTTGACCTCCGATTTTATTTAGATCAGATGAGGGGGATGGACTAGAACAGGGTTCTTAACCTTAGACCCATTACTTAGTTTAAAAGAATTTTTTTTTATAACTATTGCCATGTAGTTGGTTTCCTTTGTAACCTGATATACTTCATTTTATGCATTCAAAGGGGTCCATAGGCTTTACCAGACTGCCAGAGGGAAACCTTTGCCAAACCAAAAGGTTTAGACCCTTCTCTAGCCTCAAAGATCTTTTCTTCTAGAAGTCCCTTCCAGTTCTCAATCCTGTCTTTATCTTGGGAGTGATGGGGAGCTTTGGAAGGGTTTGGAGCAAGTGAATGCCACAGCAAAATGATCAGTTCCTAGTACTGGTGTTGTTCTGGGTTCTCAGACAGGCTTCTCTGAGGGCTCCTGGGGTGAACAGCATGGAGATTATAATGCTAACCCACAGCCCAGCCTTGCCCACAGCCCCTTCCCCAGTGCCAGCGGTGGGAACTGGGAGAGACAGCAGGCCCTACTCACAGAGAGGAGGCCCTCGGCAGGATATTCACACAGGCAGCCAGCTTCTTATCTAGGATGGTCCTGCGGCAGAGAGAGGAGGGGGAATGTGAGCGATTCAGAAAACAATTCTTTGCCAAAATCCAGTATCTTTGACCTGTGGACTGGCCTCTTGGGGATAAACTTAGTCAGCTCCAAGCAGGAGTATGCTGTTAAATGTTTATTAACCATCTTTCTAAAGAAAAAAAAAAACACTGTAAATAAGACATACTTTTAAGTTTAAGCTGCATTATTATCATTTCCTCCATCACTTCTTAAATCTAGGCAATCAACAAAACAATCTCCCAAGCCCTGACTTATAGCATTTGTCAATATCTAAAGTGCAAATGCTCCCAAAGAAAATTTAACAATCAGCAGCCTGGTTGGAGCTAACCCCAGTACACCCTTAACGCCAACGATGGGTGCTAGGGAGAACAACCTCTTCTTCCCTTGAGGCCTAGTGAAAAAGGAGCCCCTCAGAAAAGCCTTGCCCATTGGAAGAAGAGGTTGTTAAAAGTTTTAAAGAGTGTCGTGGGAGAGAAAAACCTATAGCCCAAGAAGGCAGGGGCAGGAATTATCACAACACTTGCTCGATAGGGTTTTAAGCTTTACAGAGTGTTTCCATGTTGTGGTGAGGTAGAAAATACAAATGCCACTAGCCCCATTTTAAAGATGAAGAGACCGAGACTCAGAAAGGTGTTATGATTAATCCAAGATCACACAGCTGGACGGTGACAGAACCAGGACTCTAACCAAGGTTTTCAGGACTACAAGCTCCAAGTCTAATTCTCTTTCCATCATGCCATGCTGCTGTACCATTTCAAAGCCCGGGGAGCCTTAGTTTGATGTCTCTGTCAAGCTTAAAATGTGCGCCCAGTAGAATGAACTTTTTTCTGTTGTATTAACTGAGTCTCTCTGTCCTGTTTGAACTGACCTATTTTCTCCTCTCTCAAATGCTAGTCTGAGCAGTGCTCTAGTTCACTTATCCCATTAAAGTAGCACTAACAACACGGCCCTAGCTTTCTGCCACTCTTAGAGGGGACACTAAAATTCCAGCATCTAAATAAATCTTTTAATTGCATTAAGGAGGGTGAGGGGGCAGTCTTGTTTCTACAGCAACTGCTGGACAGTTTACTCACTTCAGACAGCCAAGCTCCAGGATTAATCTCAATTTGCTTAATCAGAGATGGGTGGCAGTCCAGGAGTCAGGACTGAGTGGCAAGGAAAAAAAACATTTAACCTGAAGAAAGGTCAAAGCAGCACAACACCGTATGATGGGGGTGGGGAATGTTGAACTTGGTTTCGTAGAATCTGTCTTATTCTCAGCTCTACTAGTTATTTACCTGTGTGACCTTTGGCCAGTCACTTCTCCCTGGGCTTCACTTTCCTCATCTGTAAAAAATAAATCTGACTTATACCAAATGGATGATCTCTAAGGTCTCTGCCACCTCTAAATCCTATTTTTCTAATAGCTCATGATTCTGCCCAAGGGCAAATGGCTCAGCTCACTAACCATGAGGGGAAGGTTGAATGACTCAGCTCCGCTGCCAGGTCAGATCTCACAACAACTGCCCATCCCCCAACCCCTGGCCACTTGGGGGAAATGTCTAATGTTGTTATTGGACTTAAATTCAAAACACACACACACACATCAATAAGTCATGTAAGAATTAGCCAGGCCCTCCTTCTGTACTCAGGAAATAAAAGACTAAACAAAAGCTCTTCCAGACAAGGGAACAGGTTTGCTGGCCACACGCCACCCGTAACTAGAATATGTACAAGTTGGTAGCCCTTAGGAAGAAGAGCTCAGCTCCCTTTCCCAGTAACTTTGGTGACTATGTTCTTGGCCCTGGAACATAAGTTAATGCTTTGGGGCAACAGAAAGGAACAGAGAGAGAGAAGACAGAAGGCTATAACTTGGCACCCTGTTTTCAGTCCTCTTGGGGGATGCAAACTAGGAAAGTGTCCTGAATAAGTGACAAGTTAAAGGTGGAGTAAATGCTACTGCAGTTTAGGAAAAATGTCCCAGAAACCTAGACAAGATGGGGGGAGGCTCCCCCATTAAGGACATGAGACTTGTGTCTATGGGGAAAAAAACCTTTGTTGGCTGTCTCCCAGGGAAGCAGGGCATAGTAAGGGACTGAGCCCTTGCCTTTTGTCCCATAGCCTGACCTCATAAGGAAGGGCACTCCAAAAACCAGAGGAAAAAGTGTCCAACCATGATCGGCTTTATCTCAGTTACCAGAAAAAGTTTTAACTTTGGGCAAGTCACTCAACCTCTCTGGGTCTCTTGTTTCCCCACTTGTAAAATAAGTGTGTTGGACTTCATGGCCTCTAAGGTCTTTTGTAGCTCTAAGCTATGATCCTGCAAGTGTCTCCCAGATAAAGTCTCTCTTGCATGCTTTCTTGGAAAGGCTGTGGGTTCAGATCTATGAAAAGGTAGAAGGAAACTTAGAGATAGATTAACCTATATCACCCTCATGATCTTCTAATCTGTAAAAAGGGGGAAATAAAATTTTCACTTACCTCTTCAGAGTTGTGAGAAAAATGCTTAAAGCACAATAAAAATGTGAGATATTATCCTTATAGGATAATAAGATTTAGAGCTGGAATCCTAAAAGTCATCTGGTTCAAACCCTTTCATTTTACAAATTAAGAAACTAAGGTCTAGAGAAAGGAAATGACTTACCCACAGTCATACAATGAGGTAATGTCAGAAGTGACACTAGAACCTAGGTCCAATGATTGACACACCCATGCTCTGAGGACAAAATGCGATCCCAGAGGAACAACTATATGGTCTACCCTAACCTTGCCCCTCAGAAAATCCTGTGTATCCAGAAAGTTTCTGGGACTAGTTTCTTTACTGTGTGTTTCTGGACTTAGAGAACACAGGTCCCCATGGGGAATAGTGGGAGAGTCACATAGAACAGGGCAGGGGTGAAGTAGGCATTGAATAATTCATGTCTTGCCTCATGAATAGTGTTACTGTGTACTACAGGCCAATAGGGCCACTGGTCCTATGTTCCCTCCAAATTAAATATTAATATGAAGAAATTGAAAAGAAAAGACTCAATAAGGAAAAATGAAGCCAAGGCCAGAGTTGATCTGACCTTAACTGCCACTGTCATGGCCACTAAAGGCCATTTAGCTCCAAGAAGGTTGGGGGTGTGTTATTTTTTTTTTCTTTTTTGAGCATTGCAAAAAAAGTTGGGCTGTGAATTAGGAAGGACAGGGCCCAAACAGGCCAGGTTGGGCCATTCTCCAGCTCTCTTTGTAGCTATTTTCTTTATTGCTGTCTTTTAATACTGTGCAAGGTTATCTTGGGCTATCAGAAGAGGAAATAGACTTGTTCTACTTGGCCGCAGAGGGCAAAACTCAAAGCAATAGGAAGTTACAGGAATGCAGATTTTGGTTTGGCATAAGAAATAATTTCCTACCAATGGGCCCCATCTCCTGTGGAATGACCTACCTCAGGACTTAGGGGGTTACCCCATCAAACTAGCTGGCCACTTGATGGGAATTCTGTAAAGAAGATTCATGCTTCTGACTGGGGCTGGATGGGATGACCTCTAAGATCACTTCCCATTCTAACATGCTGTATTCCCAGTTCTAACATTTTGATTCAATTAACCCTGAGGGAATTGAGAAGATTAGGACACCAAGTGGTTAATTGTGGGAATTGAGTGAACCACACTGATTCTATCTTCTGATTCAATTGTGGAGCTAGCTTAGTTTCTATTCAATTATGGGTCTAGTCCAATTTCTGTATTGTGAGAAAACTTTATTCAATTATGGGAAGTGGGAGAAAACTTTATTGCATTATTTGAACCCAACCCTGTGTGGCTGGGAAATTGGATCACCTCTACCTGCTATGTAGAGACCCTTAACGAAGGACCTAGGGATGCTGACCAAGAACTCAGCCAGATCTAAAGATTGACACAAGTTTTCTCACAATTGTACATCTCAAGTAACTCATATGTCTTATCTGAAAACTGGCCCCATACTGACTGATCAGTTTACACTTAGGGAGAGTGGGACACCTCTTTTTCACCTGTTCATTCTTCTACCCCCCTCAACTTGGGAAGTCCCTAATCTTTCACACAATTAGAAATCAGATTACCTAATGTTGTATCATTTCCTTTTAATTAATTGGCCCTATTTGTTTAACTGTTTTTAATGTATAAAAGTCTGTCTCCCTCTGTATTCCAGGCCCAGTCCTAAGCTGAGAAAGGGCCTTGGTCTCAATTTGTTAGGCAATTGGCATTCATTGCTTAATAAATCAATATGCCCAGAAGGTCAAACCTTTGTTTTCCTCAGTCATTTCCTCTTTCATCCACCACATCCCCTAAAGAAAAACTGACAGTAGAGAAGTCCTTAAATACTTTAAATACTCTTGAAGGAATATGAACCCCAATTATAGGACTTCTTTCCATTTGACATGAATTAGCATCTCTGAGGTTGAATCTGGAAAATTTTAAAAAGTCAATTTAAAATATGAACTTCAGGATGTGTGTGTGTGTGTGTGTGTGTGTGTGTGTGTGTGTGTATTAGGGGGTCTAATACACTGGTCTAGTGGAAAGAATAGTGCTATTAGAATGAAATGACTTGGATTTGTTTCCTGGCAATGACAATTACTAGCCATGTTCAAAGCAAGTCACCTCACCTTTCTGAGACCCAATTTCTCCATCTGTAAAATGAGGATGGTACTTGTACTCCCCCTATCTCACGCTGAAAATCTTGAAGTACTATATAAATAGTTATTGTCATTATTATTGTTCTAACACCAGTACTTGTGTAGTTAGTAGAAAGAGCATTGGATTACAGAGATAGGTAGGGGAACCTAGGTCTTGGTTCCAGGTCTTCCAGTTTCATCATCTGTAAAATGGGAATAATAGTACTCACCCCTGCCTACTTCACAGAGATGTTTTGAGGATAAAATGGGAAAAAATACGAAAGTGATTTGAAAATTATAAGGTGAAATTATTTGTTATAAGGAATGGCTCTCTGGGAGGGGGAAGAGGAAGGATATAGTGTGAAAAGTGGTGAAATTTAGGCTATGTAAAAACAAGGGACACCAATAAATTGTTTTTTGAAAAAGAATACCATAAAGTACTATAAAATACTACTATAAAGTAGTATTCAAAGAAAAGAGCTTATGATTATAAATAACACTACTTCACCTGAGTCTTTCAAAGACCATTGCTAACTGATTACCTAAATAAAAACAGCAATAGCATCTTACATTAGTATAGGGCAAATGAAATAATATATATGAAGTGCTTTGCAAACCTTATCCCACAATACGAATGTGAGCTATTATTGTTATTTATCTTGTAGGCCATTTCTTTTCACAGAGACCAAAGGGTCCATCAAATCATATCCCCTTGACTCCAAAATGTATAGGGCTGAGTAGTTTTAGCCTAGAGAGGGAACAAACAGAACCCCACTCCTAAGGCAATACAACAGCTCTGACATCTTCGAGCCCATGAAACGGACCCCTAAGCCCTATATCTCATCACTCTACCTTGCTATGTCTTTGGCGATCTGCTCATTGGGGCAGTTGACAAAGGCAACCGAGTGAGTCCCAGAGAGGTAACTGCCAGTAACCACTGAGTGGAGTTCGAGGCTGATGGTCCTCAGCATAGGGTATGACAGGATGAAGGCCATCACCACCTAGAGAAAAGTAAGGGGACATGGGTCAAGACTGCCTATGTCTATTCAGTCCTTCAGAGAAACATAAGCTTTGTGGGACCACATTCATTCATTCATTCACTTATTCATGCATTGAGGCAGATGGTTGTGCAGTGGATAGAGGTTTGGGTCTGGGATTAGGAAGACCAGAATTCAAATCTGGCCTCAGGTACTTACTAGTTGTGTGACCTTAGGCAAGTCACTTAATTGCTGCCTGCCTCAGTTTCCCCAACTGTAAAATGGAGATAATAATACCATCTACCTCTCAGGATTATTGTGAGGGTTGAATGAGATGATATTTGTAAAAAGTCCCTAACACAGTGCCTGGAACAGCAGGTGTAACACAAATGTTTTCCCTTCCGTTCATCCAACAAGCACTTATTAAGCATCTCCAGTGTATAAAACATTGTGTTAGGAACTAGAGAGATACAAAGTTTGGATAAAACATGGTCCCTGCCTTCAGAGAGCTTATAATCTCATAGATGGATAAAACACAAACATGCAATGTTACAGGGTAAATGCACTAAATAGTTGCATAACAAGCTACTATGTGAGGACCAAACGTAAGGGTCGATACTCACAAACGGAATTAGAACCTTTAATTTTTTTTTTTTTGCTCCATCCCCTAACCTACTTTAAGATCATGGTATCTGCATTGGCCCAGTACCTGCCTTGAGATTCTCTTGATTTCTTCAGCCTAAATCACATATCTGCCTGTCTTACAGACTCACATGATCTCAGAGTTGGAAAGGATCTCAGAGAATATCTATCTGGTCCAAACTCTGCCTGAACAAAAACACTCTCTAAAATCTCCTCCCCAATGTCGTCATTTAGTCTTTGCTTGAATACTTCCAGTGATGGGAAACTCATTGCCCTCAGCTACAGCTCATTGCACTCGAGTATAGCTTGAAATGTTAGAAAGTCATTCCTTACATCAAGCTTAAATCTGTCTCTCTGAAACTTCCACTCACTCACCGCTCTTAGTTTTACCCCATAGAAATAAACAGAAAAGGTCAAATCCTTCTTTCACATGGAGGCTTTCCAAATACTTGAAGACAGTTATCATCTGAGTCTTCTGTTCCCCATGCTAAATACACCTACTTCCTTCAACCCATCATCATATGACATGTTCTCAAGGCCCTTCAATATTCTATGTGTCCTCCTCTGTACTTTCTCCAGCCTATCAGCGTCCTTCCTAAAATGTGCCACCTCCGGTTGAGCACAGTATTCTAGATGTGCTCTGAGAAGGGCAAAAGACATTGGGAATATCACTTCCCTAGTTCTATACCTTTTTTGCTTAATATAGCCTAAAGTCTCATCAGCTTTATCCATTAAAACTCCCTTCAGACAAACTCCTATCCAACCACATCATTACTATCATGGAACTGTGAAGCTGATTTCTGGAAGCCGAGTGTCTAACTCCAGCTTCTTCTGACCAGAGAATATGTCTGATTATATATTCCTCCCACTCTCAATTCTAAAACGTACACCAGATGGAGTAGTGGCCATGAGTTCTGTCAGAGTACCTGGATTCAAATCCCATGTTTGATTGATATGGACAGTCCATATGACTTGGGCAAGCTTAACTTCTTTGGGACTCAGAAAATAAATCAAAGAGATTGGGTAAGCACTAAGGTCTATTCCAAGTCTAAATCCTATGATCCTAAGTGTGTAACCCTGGGCAAATCACTTAGCTACTCTGAGCCTCAGTTTCCTTATTTGCAAAATATAGATAATATTAACTATCCTACTCACCTCATTGGGCTTTTAGGAGGCTCAAAACAAACTTAGCTGCTCTGAGCCTCAACTTTCTGATTTGTAAAATATAGATAATACTATCTATCCTACATAGCTCATTGGGTTTTTATGAGACTCAAAATAGGAAAATTGCTATTAAAGGACTTCATAAAGTATTTTTACTTAATTTTTCAAAGTCCTTTAACATCTATTTTCCCATTATACAAATGGGATATATGATTATTTTAGTAAGAAGTAATGTTAAGTATCACATACATGTTGAGAACAAATATTAAAATCTTCAAAAAAGAGACTTCCCTTCATTTCCTCAGTGTGTACCTCTAGAGCTCTCTGGAAGGACTCCAGTATTTTGGCCACCTCTGGATCTCCACCCTCTTTCCCTGGCCTTGCTCAAATCCATTTCTGTTCTCCCTCTCTTGCTCCCCAGTCTCTCTGCGTTTGGCTGGCTCCTGTCTTCTGGCAGGGCATGACTGCTGTCTTTATTTCTTTACTTTCTGAGTTTGACTAAATGGCAGGCTGGTTTTTTTCTCTGCCATAGCCACATCTTTCCTTTCATCTGACTCTGACTTGGCAATCCAACTGCTCTGAAATAAGACACGACCACTTGAAGAAAAGGGTCCAAATCATGAAATCTGGTAGGGTCTTTAAAAAAAAATTATTATATATTACTAAATGATAGACTATCAGAACTGAAAGGATCTTAGAACATAGAATGATAGAGCTGTGTGAAGCGATCTTAGAAATCATCTAGTCCAACCCTCTTATTTGTCAGGTAAAGAAGGATCAGTGAGAGACAGGAGACAGAAAGGATAAATTGGAACAGAATATCGGAGAGACAGAAAGTCAGAGAGTAGCAGACATTTGACCACATGCCCGGCTTTCTCATGACCCTCAGATTTCAGAGGTGCTCCAAGGGGATGTAAAGTCCAAACCGAGATCAGAGCCCTAGGGGGCCAGGCGAAGCCCAAGCAACTTCACAATCCACTTCTATCAAGAAAGCCTACTCCCCAGGCTCGGGGGACAATAAACATAACAGGAAAGAGGGAAGTTTTGAAGGTATCAGAAGCTCCATTTTGCATTTTTAAAAATTTCCTTTAATGGGATAAAATAAATGCAATAAAATTAATTTAAACGTGATTTTGATATAAAAATTTATAATGTTTTAATCTCTCTAGCCCTGACCGGTACCGGTTCCTTTTTCAGTTTTTTTACTTTTCTTGGGTTTCAGCAGGGTTTTCTCAAGCTGGGAGGAGAGGGAGGAAGACGACTCAATAGGTAGGAGGGAGGCTGTTGGTATCGCTGTCACTCCAAGGGCGAAGAAGAGGATTCCCACTATTTACCCACTGCCCCAGGGTATCGGCGGCCATTCCCAGTTCTCTCCGGCAGAGGTTGTATTTTAGAAACAGACTGGATTTGGAGTCAGAAGACCAGGTTTAGAGTTTACCATATACCACCTGTGTAACCTTGAGCTAGTTTATTGCCCTCTTTGGGTCTCGGTCTCCCCATCCGTAAAATGAGTAAGTTGAATTAGATCGCCATGGTCCCGTGGGACTTTGAATCCCCAGATCCCTAAAGTCCTAGGGAAACCCTCCCTCGGGCTGGGCACTCACCAGGAGCCAGGAGAGGCAGCCGGGGCGAAGGCAGCTCTGGGCAGCAAGCGGCGGGCAGCGCTGGGTCAGCCAGTCCATGGTGCCCTGGGGGTCAGCGGCGTGCGGTCCCCGGCTCCTGCTCGGCTGCGGCAGCGGAGCTGCCCCCGGGCGCCCCTAGGACCCCGCTGGGCTGTGCTTGGCCCAGGAGCGGGGGACTTCCAGGACTCTCGAGCCCCTCCCCTCCTGTCCTCCTGACTCCTCCTTCCAAAGGCTGTCCTGGGATTAGCGCCTAGGCTTTTCCACCTGCCGCTGCCCAGCCAGCTCCCCTCAACCTCGAGCTTGGGATTTCCTTTCTTAGTCAAACTTTCTGTACCGGAAAATTGCAGTTACAGGAGGGCCTTCGAATCAGAACAGATGGTCCTGCAGCGAGCTGAGGAGCTGGGAGCTCGAGGGTTCCATCACACGCAAATTGGATCATAGAACTCAGGGCTGGAAGGAACCTTAATGACCATCCGTCCCGTCCAATACTCGAATTTTACAGAAAGTGTCAGACTCAGAGGAGGAAACTGAGATGTCTGCATTTGGGGAGGAGGGAGAGGCCGTGACGGGCCTAAATTCATGATTTTACCCCTCAAGGAAATTAAGGTATTGAAACTCCCTCCACCAAAGTAGATCATCAACTCATTTATAATTTAGAGTCTTAAAGAGTTAAAAGGAGGCCCTGAAAAGTGATTTACCTATGTCATCCAGCATGATTTGCCTATGATTGACATATGATTTAGCTATATCATACAGCATGTGTCAGAGGCAGATCTTGAACCCAAGATTCCTGTTTCCAAGGCAGGCCCTCTAACCTTGTATCACCACAGGTTGCTGTTTCACAAATAATGATAATATCTGGTATTTATGTGGTACTTTAAGATTTGCTAAGTACTTTATATTTTCAACCTTGAGGAGCTGCTCCTGGGTTCCTATAAGAGTGGAGGGTATTACACTCACTCCCTGTTCTGTGCCTAGGCCTGCCATCTGGACAGGCTTCAATCCTGAGGAATTTGGTCTGTAATGAGGGCAGTTACTCACTTTTCTTATACTTTTTGGTTAATTAAGTCCCCACTTGGAAGCCTCAAGGATAAGTTTACTTGGAGCTTAACAGGTATGAGTCACTTCTAGGGCCTCCCCAAAGAAGGAGAGTGAAAAGGGCACCAAATGAACATTATGAATCAGGTATGGGAAAGGAAATTTATTCTTATTTTTTTTTATTTTCTTTTTTCTTCAGATTTTATTAATTTATTTATTTTTAGTTTTCGACATTCACTTCCACAAGATTTTGAGTTCCAAATTTTCTCCCCATCTCGGCCCTCTCCCCACGCCAAGATGGCAAGCATTCTGAATACCCCTTCCCCTAGTTGCCCCTCCCTTCTATTTCCCACCTCCTTCTCTTATCCCTTTCCCCTTCAATTTTCCTGTAGGTCAGGATAGAAGGGGAATTTATTCTTACATACAAAAGGAATGCTAAACACTGGATGCTCACAAATGTGAACATTCCGAAAAACAAACTTAAAATAAGATTCAGTAACTTAATTTATAATTACTGTGGCAACCTAATGGGAGATTGATAAGTAAACCTCATAGGAACATAAAAGTTTGCAGAACTGCTGATTAGGTATTTTATATTTTTGCCACAACTTTGTACTCTATTCAAACAACTCCCAGTACTGTCCAAACAATTCCCAGTAGATGTCTCCTGGTAAAGTGACCAGACTGGGGCCTATCTTTTTGTCAATGACTGTCCTTTCTAGGAGCACTTCACTAATTGCTGGAAACATTTCTCCACACTGACCCACCAAAAAAAAAGCTACAACCTGGTGAGACTTAGGACTTCCTGACCTCTCAAATGCACAAGGTCAGGTCCAATCCTGAACATTATTTCAGATTTGATACTCATATGACTAAAATCAGGAAAGAGTAAGCCCAAAAAAAGACAGCTCAACTCCAGGCTGAGGCTTACTTAATGGGAGACAGGCAGGTACTTTGATTGCCACGTACTGGCATCCAGTCATATGGAGACCAGCTACCCAACTCTCAAATAGAGCTGGAAAGGAAGAGAGAGGCCTGGGACTGGCGACTCCCTTTTGTACATTTACTGAGACATCAGTTTCTCTAGTCCACAGCCAACAAGCAGACCTGGAGTCATCTACAAGTGCAAGTCTCTCAGCAATGAGTCATACATGGCTACAATCATCCCTCCCTTCCCCCAGCTTGAACTACAAGGTTGCCTGGAACCATAAATGAGGACTTTGATCCTAATTCATGGTAGAAGAGAGGGGAATGACCCCACTATATGCACATTATTTCCTTTTGTCTTCACAATAATCTTGTTAGGTAAATACTGCAAGTATTATTATCCTGCATTTTATAAGATGAGGAAACTGAGGTACATAAAGGTAAAATAATTTGCCCTTGAGCAAACTTGCCCAAAGCTAGGTCCATGGATCATAGATAAAGTGTTGAAAGGGGCCTTAGAGGCCATCTTATGCACTATAGGCACACATGTCCACATAAACGCATGCCCACAGCTAAAGATCCATATGCATTCACATGAGTGTCCTAGCCCTGACCCTGGAGGGACAACCCCAGGAGGTTCCTGGAAACAAATATTTCTGTTTATTTATAACAGTATGACAAGGCTGAGGGTGTGTCAAATGTGGCCTTTGGCTGAGGCTGGATGGGTATCACAGCATCATAGGTTTAAAACTGTAAGGGACCTTAGAAGGGACTCCTTGTTACTTACTTTAAGAAGGGCCCATGAACCAATCAAACTACCAAAAAATTATTTTATAATGCTAGAAAAAATAATGACAAGATTCATGTGGAATAACAAAAGATCCAGAATATCAAGGGAACTAATGAAAAGAAATGCAGGGGAAGGTGGCCTAGCTGTTCCAGATCTTAAATTGTAATATAAAGCAGCAGTCATCAAAACTACTTGGTACTGGCTAAGAAATAGAGTGGTGAATCAGTGGAATAGGTTAGGTATGCAAGACACAGTAGTCAATAACTATAGTAATCTAATTTGATAAACCCAAAGACCCCAGCTTCTGGGATAAGAACTCACTATTTGACAAAAACTGCTGGGAAAACTAGAAAAAGTATGGTACAAACTAGGCATAGACCAAAATCTCATACCATATACCAAAATAAAGTCAAAATGGGTTCATGGTTTAGATATAAAGGCTGATACTATAAGCAAACTGGGGGAGCAAGGAATAGTTCACCTATCAGATTTATGGAGAACAGAAGAATTCATGACCAAATAGGAGACAGAGAACATCATGAAATCCAAAATGGGTAATTTTGATTACATCAAATTGAAAAGTTTTTGCACAAAGCCAATGCAACCAAGATTAGAAGGAAAGCAGAAAATTGGGATAGAATTTTTACAACCAGTCTCTCTGATAAGGACCTCATTTCTAAAATATATAGATAATTAAGTCAAATTTATAACAATACAAGTCATCTCACAATTGATAAATGGTCAAAGGATATGAACAGGCAGTTCTCAGATGGAGAAATTAAAGCCATCTATAGTCATATGAAAAAATGCTCTAAATCACCATTGATTAGAGAAATGCAAATCAGAACAACTCTGAGGCATCACACCCAACCACATCACACCTATCAGATTGGCCAACATGACAAAACAGGAAAATGAAATGTTGAAGAAGATGTGGGAAAATTGGAACACTAATACATTGTTGGTAGAGTTGTGAAATGATCTAACCATTTTGGAGAGCAGTTTGGAACTGTGCCCAAAGGGCTATAAAAATGTGCATACCGTTTGACCCAGCAATAGCACTTCTAGGTCTGTATCCCAAAGAGATCATACAAATGGGAGAAGGACCCACATGTACAAAAATATTTATAGCAGCTCTTTTTGTGGTGGCAAAGAATTGGAAATTGAGGGAATTCCCATCAATTGGGGAATGGCTGAACAAGTTGTGGTATACGAATGTAATGGAATACTATTGTGGTATAAAAAATTATGAGCAGGCAGACTTCTGAAAAACCTAGAAAGATTTGTATAGTCTGATACTGAGCGAAGAGAATATTGTACACAGTAACAGCCACATTATTCGATGACTAATGTTGATAGGCTCGGCCCTTCTCAGCAATGCAAGGATCTAAGACATCTCCAAAGGTCTCATGATGGAAAATGCTATTTACATCCAAAGTAAGAACTATGGAGTTTGAATGCAGATCAAAGCATACTATTTGCTATTTTTTTCTTCTGTTTTGTTTTGTTTTGTTTTCTATTTCTTTTGGTTCCTCCTATTGGTTCTAATTCTTCCTTACAACATGACTAATGTGAAAATATGTTTAATAGGAATGTATATATATAACCTATATCAGATTATGTGCCATCCTGGGGAGGGAGGGGGAGAAAAATTTAAAACTCAAAAACTTATGGAAGTGATTGTTGATAAATCAAAATAAATTAATAAAAAAAGAAGGGCCCATGAAGTGGATGTGGGAGACTAGAAGATTTAAAATAGGGCAGATGGAAAGTAGATGGAGCAAGAAGGAAAGGCAAAAGGGAAAGGGAAGCTATGAGGGAAGAGAAGGAAGAACTAATCTACTCCCCTCCTTCTTCCCACTGGCTCATATTATTTTTAGATTTCAACAAATATTCATTAAGCACTTAAAGTGTGCAAGGATTTTTGCTCAATAGCATGTGGGAAGAAGGAGAGATACAATAATGTGTAATACGTGGTCCTTTACACTTATGGAAATTCACAGTCTAATAGGGAGATATAACACATTTGCATCTAGCTATACTTCGAAATGATAACTCCATCAAAGGTTCATATGTGCACACACCTCAATGGGCTGTTGTGAGGATCAAATTGGATAATTTTGCTTAAAATGGTATATAAATGCTAGCTGCTGTTGCTACTACTACTACTGCTGTTGCTGCTGCTGCTGCTTCTACTATTACTACTACTACTACTACTACCACCAGAGATAAGCAAAGGTCATAGTTCCTACTCTCAGTTCAATTCAATTCAATTCAACAAGCATTTGAGGTCCATACTTCTTAGCTGTGTGACCTTGGACAAGTC